CGCAAAATTACAGTCAGATTCTCACCCGATGGTAAAACTACTGCCAAGTTTACACGCTAAAAGTGGCATTCATCGGTTCAGTTGAATTATTTCTGTAAACAGTTTTTTGTCTCCAAATTCTACGAAATTTTTTCGAATGGTTCAGAGAAACTGACAAGTTTCAGGTACTCGTACATCATAATCCTGGAAATTGCGCAACCTCCGCAAATTTCAGGGAATCACTCTAAATTGCACCGATGACTCTTATTTGCAGCTCTCATTTCAGCGTGCAGGCCTGACATTAATCGAACATGATGGAAATACAGAGTACTCAGGGCCGGACCTGTCACCTCCGGTCAAAAAAAATTCGTCAGAGAAAAACTTTAAACAATATATTTGGCGATTTTGATAGGCGTTGTAGTAAGTTGATGATTTATGATGAGAAACACTCACAACACTGTAGATGATAATCACAAAAAATATAAATATAAGTATAATGAAACAAAATAAGAGAAATAGAAGGACAGTTTCGGAGAAACAAGTTCCTAACTAAAAGAGTGGCGATCGAAGAAAGGATTATTCGCCGAGCCCTCGCCTCGGACCAAATGCAGATTCGGACATATTTAAAATAAAAGGAACAATATCCATTGTGGCATGAGCTTTGAGATCCATATAAATACATGCACGTCAGGGGTCATGTCAGAATGGACAAGTTTCTTTTGATTTTAATATATTCAATCGGCGAGTTGTGAAAGGAGGAATGCCACATTTTGTGCATGGAGGCGAAAGGCGCACAAATGAAACACGCAAGCTATCTCCTCGGTTTTGGAACAATTTTAGGGCTTCTAACCATGATACATAGTTTGAGTGACATTTTCGATGCGAAGAGTCCTTTTTTACGGTAAAAATTTAAAAGGCACCCAGAGTGTCATTTCAACCCGCGGATGAACGTGTAACAGAGTTGATAGAACCTCTTTTACCTCCGATTACGGATTTATCCTCCGTTTAAAATTTGACAAGCTCACTGAATAAAATTGATACGCATGCATGGCCGGATTTACCTACTTGCCGCCTATGGGCCGCCTGTATTTTGCCGCCCTCTTCTCATTCATTTTGAAACATCAATAAAAACCATCAAGTGAACGTGCCGGAGGGAGTAGAGTCCCTTTATACCCAGAGTTAAGACAACTCACTTTTGATTGGGCTAAGGTTGGGCTGAAAGTGGCCTAAAAAAAAATCCAATTCTGATTGGTTCTCGCTCATGGAGGCCGAAACGAGTGCACCAAGATTGCGGTACCTCGAATGTGAACAAGAATAATGAAAATATTACCTAATTGTGGTTTATCAAGAGTAAATTGTCATTTCCATCGGTCCAAAATGAAAACAGATTAAGAAATTATTCACAAACCAATCTCATTTTCTTTTTAATTGATCAATTTGATGATGTTGTTGTTTTTGTGTGACAGACATCGCAGGATTCCTGATCCTTCTCCCTCAATATCGTTCCTTTGGGTGCACTCGTTTCGGCCTCCATGGCCAGCCAAGGCCGGCTGCCAGTCAGCTGATAATCGAGTTGTCTTAACTCTGGGTATAAAGGGACTCTAGGAGGGAGAAGGGTGCATAAGACGCGTTCACTCGAGTTGGACACATTTTTTGCGTAAGCCCTGTCAACACTACTAGCAAAAGTTCACGGAACTTCGCGCGAAAGTTCAGTTCCGTAAACCTATCTCTGTGGGGACAAGGCCTTTCATTTGTAAGAAATGAACTAAAAAATTAAGAAAGAACAAACATAAATGTGGTTTAATAATTTTAACTTCCGCCGCCTTGCCGCGCTGACCACACTGTGTTTGGTGCAATGCGTGAAGTATTCATGTAGTCTTGTAGGCACTGTGCGTTTCACGCCGCGCCGACCGCTGTTGACCGTACTGTGTTTGACGCAATGCGTGAAGTATTCGTGCAGTCTCGTAGGCGCTAATATGTGTTACATGCCGACCACCGAGTCCAGGGTTTCTCCTTTTCATCTCAAGTCCTCGTCATCACTTCTCTTTGCGCCACCCCGCTCCAGGCCAAATTACGTGTTCGGTTTCTCTCTTAACTCAACTAATTAAAGGTGCGCAGTCTTTTGTATCACCGAAATACGACAAAATTAGAAATTAATGAACTCTTAGGAAATGAGAGATTTTGTCACCTTTTCTTGTTTCTAATTTTTTTCTGAATCCGATTTTTTTGTACCTGCATTTAAAAAAATTGCAAAGTTTGCCGCCCCCTAATTTTGCTGCCATAGGCCGCGGCCCATGTGGCCACCCCCTTAATCCGGCCCTGTACGCATGATCTTTTTCCATTCACTCTCTTCTTTTTCGGCGTAACAACGGCTCGCTGGTAAGTTTGGGTGACCTGGGGTGTTTTGCCGTCAACGTTTGTGTGGAACTCCGGTGCTCCTTCAATTAGTAGCTTATGCAGTATGGACATCTGCTGAGGTGAAATAGTTGCATTCAGACGCTCCTATTAATTTCCTGCTCGTTCGTTCATCAATCGCTGCGAGGACAAATCTTGAAAAATGTTGACGAAAAATGAGTGCAAAATGTCCCACCAGAACCGGAAATGTAATCCGGACTGTGAAATGCATAAAAAAATCCCCAGAAATAGTGTTGAAAGTGTTGCTTCGTCAAGAGGTTTTTAACCAGCGGCGAAAGAACCGTACCTGAGCCAGGGAACTGCTCTGTCAAAATCCTTGGTGCATGCTAGAGTATCTACTTAGGGAGAGTACGGACATATCGGAATGGACATGTTTCTGCCAAACGGACTAATAGCAAACCACGGTGATTGCCAAGTATGTTCACAAATGAGCGTTCTTCCACAAAAATGAGTGAATGTAGGTATGCAAAAACTAGGTCAAATAGGTGCTCCACAAAAGACGAGTCGTAACATTTGGCAGCCATGTAGGCATTTTTCAGTAAAAAAGCGCATGTGACTTCCAAGGCTGCTAAAATTGCGCGACGTAGTTTCCAAGTCGTGAGTAATTTTTCCGACAGTTCTGCTATGATTTTTTTCCTTAATCTGCTCCGAGATTTTCCTCACTATTGTTGGGAGGACTTGACTTTGAATTACTTTCATCTGCCGCAAACGCTTTAAAAGAAATCGCACAATCTTAGCAGCATTGCCAGCCTCATACGCCCTTTTACCGTAAAAATCCTCAATTACGTACATATTCACTCTATATGTATACAGGGTGTCCCAGGATTATGTACGAATATTGAAGGAGTCGATTCTTTGGGTCGAAAAAAGACGTTTTTGTGATATAACTTTTTTTTCCAAAAACGTTTTCCCTGAATGGAGTGCAGGTGGGCTTGAAAGGATTGGAGGTGGCCCCCAAGGAAAGCATTTTTGAAAAAAAGTTATACCTCAAAATCGTATTTTTTTGACCCAAAGAATAGACTCCTTCAATATTCACGTACCTCATCCTGGGACACCCTGTGTATGTAATCTAGCAGGGAACTACTTTATCGTAATCCCTGGTGCGTGCAGCGCCGCTATGCACAGGCGAGGAAAGCTCCATACTCTTAAAGGATGCCTGTCTTTCTTAATATGTTGGAGCGCCTTCAATTTCGTATGCTACTGTGCAACACCTCCGTGGTGAAATAGTTGCTTGAGGCGCCGTGGCACGCTGCGCTCAAAGCGCACTGGCGCCTACAAACCTAAGGAGATACTTCAAGCATTACGCAATGCGTGAAGTATCCCGTTAGGTTTGTAGGGGCCAGTGCGCGTTTCGCGCTGACAGCACGCCGCTCCACTGTGTTTGCCTCTAAAATTGAAACACGATTCTGAGACTGCAGCGCAACTGACCCATTAATCGGTTCGTGTACACTGAAAAAAAAGATTGGTCGAATTTACCATTCCTTCATGCTGTATTTCACATAACGTGAATTCAAAGTCGATTCTGCCACTGGAATGATTACGCGTACCATTATGTAGTAACGCTTAGAGTCCTTTTATACTAATTGTAAGAGTCGAGACAACACCCCCTCATGGAGTCACAGTCGGGAATAAAGATTACAGAAATTGAACGTTTTTCGTAATCTCTGATCGGCCCATTCTCAAATTCCTTTCTCCATTCCTTCTCTCATTCCGTTTGCTCCTTGCCGAACCCGTAAGTCCCTGGTCCATTCCAGATAATAATCCTTGCAATCGGTGAAAATGTAATCTTTATTCCCGTTTGTGATACTGTGAAGGCCTAAAATACGGGAACCAATCAGAAATGGATTCACATTGTCTTGACTCTCAGTATAGGCCTCGATAGACGATCAAATTCCCGAATCAATTCCGATCAAAGTAGCATCAAAGTGTCGGGAGTCATCAGTCTTAAACTCATTAATTTGCTTCATTTTAAAATGAAAATTTGGCAGAAATGTTTCCTTTGGCAGAAATGTTTCCTGTGGCAGGAAATGATGAATGGTGGCACTCCGTTCTGATCTACCTTTGAACAAAAAAGTGCGGCCCGTCAAAATTTGATGGTAGATGGTGACCACCAGTCATCAGCATGTCTACATTGATCGGAATTGGTTCGGAATGTGATCGTCTATCCAGGGCTTATAAAGGGACTCTACATGAACCCATTGCATCGTTCCCAACCCAACAGCTGGCGAGTGCATCAGTGCATCACCCGAAACGCATCCAGCCGCGGGCGGGCGCGGCGCGGTCCATTCATGGCGATCAGCGGGCACCCCAGACCCAGCCCAGCATCTCCCATCTTATCTCGCGTGGAATGTTCTCGTCTTCTGCGTTTCGATCGGAGGCACCCGAAAGCATAATAAGGAACCGGCAACCGGCTCGAGCCCGGCTGCCAGCTCGCTCGACGACCCCGGATCATCTCGAAGCAGCACGCGCGACTCCCGCTACGATCCGCCAACCGGCTTCACCTTGAATCCTCCGGTCTTATCTGAATTTCAGCCACCCCGCCCCCCTCGTCCCCATGTTGACTGTGTGTGTCAACGGCGCGGAGGAAAATAAGAGCACCGCTGAGCCCGGACTTGATCCATACGACCGCAGCCAGTTCAGTGCTTCAGGTGAACTTGACAGGCGCGCATCTTAAGTTACCCGCACGACGCTCCACGTTTTGGTGTTCTTTTGTTTCACGTTTGAGTTTTTGAGGTGATCCGCTATGGCTTCCGACAATTTGTCCGCTGTCCTGTACAAGCAGAACGATCTTAGATTGGTGAGTTTTTTTCACCGTGTTTTCCGGGCTCCTGAGTTTACCGGGTTTACCGACCGGCTCACGACTGGCACAATGCGACGGAAATATTGAAATAATTTTGCACTTTAATATCATTTTTTAACATGAAATTGCAATATTTTAACATCATTTGTCCATGCATCCGATTTCAGAAGATCAATATCAGAGTTGTGTGTGTGGGGAAAGCAGGTATTTTGCAATGCAATGCAAAAAAGAAACACAAATAAAAATATAAAAAAAATGCAACATATATCAAGAGTCGACTTTTTACGAGTGGATTTGGTCGACGTTTTTACCAAATTGGCAGGGATTCAAACCAAAGGAAAGGAACTCTCTGCTGAAGTCAAGAACTTAACTAAGTTGCTTGATGAATTTCGGCCATCGTTTGCATCCATCCACTTTTCAACCTACCACGGGAGGGGGGTCGAGAATTTTGGATGTAGGCCGGTGGGCGTCAATTTTGGAGGTGGTCGTTATTGCTGGTCCGTATGTGACCGTTTTTGGGCCGACCCAGAACCCAAAATAATTGAGTCATTGATATCAGAGCAAAAGGAAATATTCTACGTGCCTTTAAAGGCAAAACACTAAGACGAAAAAGTCATGGCGTTTTGCAATTCCTAGCTCAATAAACCTAGTTTTGAGGAAAAGCGTTTCCATTTCTAAGCAGTTATATTCTGGGTATGGGATCGCTAGCACATGATGTAACTTTACGTTGTCTATCAGTGAAAAAGTTTGCTTCAATTTTTAACATTCAATTTTTTTATAAGTTTTTCTCCTTACCTTCATGATAAACAGACATATATGAAGCTTGATATTTTTTCTCTTTCTGACGAACAAGAAAAAAATAGGAAAAAAATATTCTTCCATTGCCAAGAACAAGGAGTTCCAAGATGCACGCACACAATTCGAGGAGCCTGTCTTCAAAACACCCCTCTTAAAGTCAATGGGGTGAAAGTAAGATGAAGTAACGTTCAAAAATGCATTTCATAAACTCCGGTCGAAATTCAACCAGGGAAAAAGCTTGCAGAAATCTCTTTTTGCTACCTTTTCCGATTTTAAAAAGTTTGCTTAAGTCATCGACTTGTATGTGCCAAAATTAGACTGATTTTAGGCTGGCTGAGTTGCGACGACAAGCATTTGGAGATATTTTAAAAGCAGTTGAGTTTTGGCCCAGTGTCGATTTGTTTACTTCGTAGAGTTCAGTTGTATTTGTCCCGCTCGGATGCGGGTCAGTAAACTTTTAAGCCGGCTCGTGGTTCAACTCTTGGCCTTCTCTGAACCCGTCCAGCACGCTTGAGGTCTTCGTAAACATGTGTGAGTCATATCGTATTCTCGCTGTGCTACCGGCTTAATGCAATCAGTTCAAATGCCTCCTCCACGCAAGAATAGCTATACCCAAGTAACATTTCTCAACGGAAAAATCGCGATATTTTGAAATTAAGTTGCGATTCTTATACGATTTTTTGGCAATGAAATCGCCGGGACCATCAACATCTGAGCGATTATCCTCGATCTTGTCGCAATTTCATCTTAAGACTTTCAGTTTTGCACGATTTTTTGTTAAATGATATTGCGATAAATCGCCGTCAACATAATCGCGATTTCATCGCAAAATACTATGAAGTCGCAATTTATCGCAATTTCTTATCCGATAATATTGCAAGATGTCGCGACGTCGATAAAATTGCGATACGTTCTTCGATGAAATCGCAACTTATCGCGATCACTATTACTTGGGGTGATAAATGGTGAAAGTTCAATTATCACGTGAAGTCGGAGATCCCTTTCTTCAAAGCATATCCACTAGGGATTGGTCATTGAGCTAACCAACGACAGAAAACAGTAATGGTGTCAAATATACGCGAATACATGATATTTTGTCACGTGAGTAGGTTTACAACGGAAAAATAACAGATCTCGGGGGAAAAAAATTAATGATCTTGTTTAATTCCAACTTTTTTCACACTTTTATCATTGGCCTGTTTGCGATTCCACTGAAAAGAGAGAGATGGTCATGACAAGATTTGAGAATTTCCCCTCTTGTTCTTAGATTCTGGTTTTTCCGGACCTCCGTCCCTCTCTCCCCAGTATTCTCATCTCGCCTCCAATACCTTTCTCTCTCTACCCCCTCTACTTTTTTATTTTTGTTATAAACTGTAGGCATGGATGTGCCGATAACATAAGAGTGAATATTTAATTTTTTGCGAGTTTGTTTATGTTTTATATGCGGAATAAATTCCCCAAACGCAGAACAGGTTTTCGTCGAACGGATCGCTGCCCTAGCCCACTTCAAATGTTAATCAGATGATCCCAAGGTCTCTCGAAGTTATTTGTTTACCGCATTGGCGTGGGGTGCTTTGCGATATATCGATTAATCTACCGTTTCAGCATGTAGAAAAGAATCGATAAAAAGGGTGCTCGCAACGAACACCTCAAAAATCGATTCTTTACCACAGCTTCAAATGGGGAAAAATCGATAGTCGATCATTCACGCCTGGCCGCTGGTTTACAGAGGAGGAATTATTTTTGAGACCTACGTGGAAAGATATCCCAAACTGCAAAGAGATTTTTTCTAATTAATGACGTTTGAAACTTGCCAATTTACTTTAAACACGCACTTAGTGGATGAACTAGATATTAGATTAAAACTGCAATATTTGTGAAAAATTGGAAAATATACTCTATCTTGAAGCCTCCATGATACACCCTGTAACGGTGTAACCTGCCTCTGAGAACTGATTACATATTTCATGACTTTTTTTGTGAAAATGGGTGCCTTTAGAGTTTGAACCCTCGAAAACTAAGTAGAGATCAGCAGAATGAAACCAAGCCACGCTGAGTGGGAACGATGATAAAGTGGTTTAAAGAAACCATCATCAGATTTGTTCAAGATGTAGTTCAACCCACTATTTTCATAATAAATGTTTTTCCCGACTTTGAAGTTTTGACCGGAGAAAGAAGCACACCCCCCCCCCCCCTCCGTGGACCTTGTTGATTGTATCGAGCCGCTCAGTATTGATAGACCCCAGGAAAGGTAAATCGCTCTTATGCTTAATAGAATGAACTTGCGTTGATATTCGTCCAAGTTTTCGCAGGTAATGATGCTTTTCACGTTAAAAAGCTTGTCGATCAATCGATGGTTTCGTTACGTAATTTTCCAGCCCGAGTAGAGCACGCATGATAAGAGAAGTGCCCTACAGGCTAAAATAAACAAGACATCGCGTCATACTTGAATGTTATCGTATGCTGACATGTCAACGACATGAGTCTGTAGCCGGTTTAAGCTCATAATTTACGGTTATTTTTACTTGTCGCAAAACTTTCAATGAAAGCGTCAGAAGTGCAAGTTGTCATGAGTGTTGATAAGATTTTGCACTTCTTTCTGCGAGCTCTCCAAATAACCTGATTCAAGGTCTCCATTGATGTCTTTCGAAAGTTTATTCTTCAAATTATCTTTCATTTTTATGTGTGAAAATCTATCAGCAATTTGGACTCTCTAGCGATTATTGAAATTAGAACGAAAGGATAGACAAATGAGACGAAAAAATTCGAATTTTCCCTCCCCTCAGAGCAATGATGGGCAGAGACCCTCAAGTCTTCTCGATATTGAAGGCAAAGTCGAAACATGCGCACCTTCAATTGCGATTTTTCTTAAATAAAATCTTTAAGTAATATAAACTCATTTATAGATTGAATGAGAATTTTCTTGAATTTTGTACCCTCACTTCAAAATATTTATAGAGAATTTCATGGAGATACTTTGGTTAGTTGTCTTACAAAAATAAGTAAATAAATAAAAAATAAAGGTTTAATGGGCACCTCAGAAGTTTATTTTTAGACTCACTTCAGGTGCCTTACAACCATTAGATCGGGCTGATTGTTGACATTGATAGACAAAGCTATAGACAAAGATACATACGGAGTATGGAGCGATCCTATTGGTTGAAATTGTTGGTATGCTGGTTCCTATAGACTGAGGGGAAAAATGACGGACTAACTATAAAGATAGGGTCTCTCGTTGGTTGCCGTCAGTTAGTCTATTATTTACCCTCTTTGTCCATTCCAACCACCCTCTTTCACCAATAGAATTCCTCCATAATATCTCATTTGTCTTATTTCTCTATAGCTTTGTCCCTCAATTTCAACAATCAGCCCACAATCGAAAATAAGAAAATAATAAAAAATAAAATAAAATAAATCTTTTGTGGTATAAAAAAATAAAAATAAATAAAAATAAAACTTGATCGGAGATTTTGAAACGCTGCAACGGAGAAACGCATTTTCCGACTTCCGCCATCGATATTCAATACCCATGATCACGATCTGAGGAGCGGTTACGCGTGGCGTACGTTTAACTTGCTGTAAATAACGATTTATTTACAGAAGTAAGTAACTCTTAACTAAGCGCCATCGTCAACGACCGTTACGACGAGCGTGTGGACCTTGGGCTGCTGTTTTAATATGCCACGACGTCCACTCTGATGTTAATATCGAATTCATGAAGCATTTTACCTATTAGTCGAACGCGCCATCAGCCCCGGCTACGTTCAATATGACGCTATTTCTTGAAGTCTTGGACCGGGTGCTAGCGCCATCAAGTCGGGTTTTGCGATGTATCGATTGATCTGCGATTTAAACCCATGGCATAGGATCGATAAACACCTTAATAATCGATTCTTTCCATAACTTCAATTGGGGATGTATCGATAATCACTGGAAAAAAACACATTCGATCTAGAGTCCAGACTCTTAAAAACATCGACAAGAAAAAATACTCTTGGTTCAATCAGATTTAAGCTTAAATCAAGAACCAAGCCTCTTAATTTGAGCGGATTTCCTTTTAATTTAAGCTTAAATCTGATTGAATCAAGAGTCTGGACTCTAGATCCAATGTGTTTTTTTTTTTTTTTTTTTTTTTTTTTTTTTTTTTTTTTTTCCAGTGATCGATCATTTACACCTCACCACCAAAGTCGTGATGGATG